CTTCTTCTCCCAGTGTTGTTTAACTTTCACATGGTGATTCATTCTGTCCAAGGTCTGTCTTGTAAGGTTATTCTGAAAATGAGATCTGGCAACTCAAAACTGTACATTAACAGCTAGAGTGATAATCACCACCCTGATATCCGTTCCGAGTGCTACTGAAAAGCTGACCTACAGAACAGAAAACCTCTTCAGAAACTGGTGACACGTAAAAGCTGGCCCCTGTAGGAAAACAGAACTGAGGCATAAAATTGCATTTGGGAATACTTTGGCACAGCAGGTTCCATCCCACTGTACGTGAATCTAAGACAGGCAGGTGGATGCCATCCTAAAAAAAGGCTACAGAAAACAGAAAAGCACGGAGAGTCAGAGAAAAAGAAGAGATGCAGAGATGGAATTTAATAAAAGGCACTCAAGGGAAACGAGGAAAAAGCCCTGTATTGTACTTGATGTCAGGACACGCTCTTCAGCATTCCTATTGAAGGGGTCAGGGACTGCTTAGCTAAAAAAACTGCTGAATAAGCTTAAGGTGATCTTCAGTATCCTCTGTACCTGCTGCACTGCTGACATTCAGAGAAGAGGGTAAAAGCACAACTAGATAACACAGGAAAGGATGTTTTGTAGCCTGACCCAGGACGTGTTCAAGAGGCGAATGCAACCAACAGTCTCTGCTTTAAAATGTGAGCTATTTACCTGCTGAGACTGATGTCAGCATGATGGATAAGGAGCTTTAAACTAAGGGCAAAAGTTTAATTTTCATATCCTGCTTAATACCTAGAAAGACAAAAAAAATCAGCTAAAGGAGGACAAATCAATCAAAACCAATTATGAGAAAAAGAATGCTAACATAGTGAAGGGAGTCAAGCAGATGACAAGATTCAAGGAAAAGGACTACTGTAGGTATGAAAACAAATCAGATTGACATGAAACAATTCAACTGATTGTAATCTAAAGAAGAGAATCCAAAATCCTTTTATTTGCTGTCTTCAGATAGAAGAAACCATTTTCAGCCATACTGATCAAACTGAAATGAATCTGTCTTAAGTGCTGAAGTTTTTTCTTAAAAATAAGGTAGGATCATAAAACCAATCAGGTATTAGCTTACCAAGTATATTTCTTAAGTACAAATCAAATGGCTTTATAGCTTCCTGGCTATCTGGCATACAAAGGAACATTCATCCCCAGTGGTCTTTACACTTGCCTAAAACAATCTCTTTTTTAATAAAGCATGTGCAAATTGGAACTTACTGTGCTTGCATTCATTATGAACTTATCTGCAGCACATATAACTATTACTCTCTCAAAGTAACTTAACATTACTACAAAAAACAGGAGAGCTTTCATGACCACGTAACACAACCATAAAACCAACATTTCATATAATTTTTACACTATAAATAAAAAAACTGAGGGATTTTGTTTCCCTCAAGTGCCTGAAACACGTCTCAAATCCCCAGCAGAAATATGCACTTAAGATTTACATTAATATATGTTTCATCTGCATGCTAAAATCACTTTTTTTATTCTTCTCTGGACATTCACAAATCTCTACCCAATCACCATAAGATAATATGGTAAAAGTCCTATGTAGAAAATTAAGCTTTTGTAAAGAAACTTGTCTTCATTTTCCCAAGTACAAAAAATATTTCAAAATCCAGATTAAAACTACACACAATGGTTACATCTTTTGAACAGCTTTAATTCTTCTAATGAATTCAGTTATATGCATGTATTTATAACTTGCTTTCAAATTCTAATAAACTGAATCTCTAAAATACCACAACTGAAGAATCTTTGAAGCATATACTGTGAGAAATGATATAAAGATAACAGATACAGTATTGCAAATATATATTTGCATGTAAAATGGATCAGGATAACATTATACTATATTATATAGTATTTACTACAGCAAAAAAATACATTACTTTTTTCAGCTATGAGCCCAGCAAGATTGACGTGGGAAACGAATATCAATGTGTATTCTTCCTTCCTCATTTTCATTCCTAGAACTTATTCTAAGTCTCCTTGTTAAATTTCAGTAGCAGCTCTAAAACTTGTTGCTTTCAGTGGCTTTACAAGGTATTTATAACAGACTGTACTTTTGTAAGTAATTAGACCTTAATGTGTAAAATTGTGAAGAATATTATTTATTTCAAAAAAATTCAACCTCTTCACTAAAACTTCTAAATAATAAAGCTATAAGTTTTTACTAATTTAATCTAATCTGGTTTTGAAGAAATGCAGAGCAGACCCATTGTGCAAAAACTGAGCTGTCGTAATTTGTGTTAGTGTAAAATCACTTTCATTTAGTTTTCTTCTAGAGGTATTTGGTGTAACACTAAAAAATCAAAGAAACATCTTAACTGTAAGAAAATATGATTTTTAATCTGAGTCTCACGGCACTTTATGCAAATACAGTATTACTAAATGATTCTATGATTTTCATGACTTTGTTTTAAAACTAGCTATTGTTAAAATAATGCAAGTGTTTCTCCATTGTAAAGGTCTTCTAACACATCTTGGCAGTCGAAAAGCAATCAGAAAGATCTGGAACAACCTGAAAACTAATGCATTTAAATGACGAATATATATATAAATATATACATATATATAGACACACACACACATATGCACAGGATTCTCAATGTGAGGTGATAACCTACCAATAAAACATGAGACAGCAATAGTAACAGCCCCATTAGCTCTTCAATCTGTTTGCCTTGCTTAGGTCAGGGTTTTTTTGTGACACTCAACACAAGTATAGGTGTACTGTACTTTTTGTGCAGTTTGACTGTCTACTTGTATGTGAAACCTATTTGTTGATGAAATGCAAATGTTAACGAAATTCCAAATCAACACTGCATTTAAGAGTATTTTGTCATCAAATTATTTTTTGTTAAAAGAATCCTTTTAAATTCCCTATTACAACAAAAAGATGTAGCTTCTATGTAGAAACTAGCACCAAACTTTTAATTAGTTTAAATAAATTCAAGTATTTTAAATAATTTCAAGTAATCTAATCTTTGTTTCTAGATCTTGAGATACTATTAATGACCTCCTTGAAGGTCTTAGCATTTTGCAGTGCCCCGCAGAGAGGGACCCTAGACTGAAGTCTAGTCTGTACTAGCTATGAGTTTTACGTAAAGACCCAAACAGTTCGCAGAAAATCTAATTGTTGTTGGCTGAAAAACCTTGTGTAACATCATAAAGAGTAATTTAGTATCTTTATTGCTCAAGGATTGCAAACGACTTCTACTTGTTGAAATAAGCAGTAGTCATTGTATTTTAGCCCGTATTTAGAATTTTATTTTCAGTTGTTTTTGCAATGAAACTTTATGAGCTCAGAAAATTAAATGCACATTAAGCTTTGGTACAATTCTGGCCTATGGTGACTTCAATAATTTACTTGCAACCTGGGCTGATGAGTGAGAATGTTTTATAACAATATGAAAATTGTTTTTATGGTACTAGTCCTGAACAACAAAACTCTGAATTTTCCAAAGTTGCAATTAGTTAGAGCCAGATTTACAGACCAGATTTTCCAGAGCTGCTGAGAGAAATATCAAGTAGACTAACAGATTCTTCTCTGTGTATCCACTTCCCAGAAAAACCCAATTTTCTTCTCCTAATCCCTTCTCAGTTAAGGATAAGAAGAATGTGTCTCTTGGTGACAGGAAAACAAAAATCCAAAACAGAAAGTGAGAAAAAGAAGAACAGAAAATAAGGAACAAAACTAACAAAAAACTCCCCAAAGTCAGTAAGGTGCAAAACAACGATGGACACACTGCAGGGCTAAGAGGTATGCTTCTAAAATACGGGGCACGGCAACTTCAACAGAATATCCATTTTAAACATTATGGCAACCTAACAGCAATAAGAGGAGAACAAGCTTAGAAACAGGAACATTCCCGAAGGTTAATCAATTAGAGCCACTTTGGAGGCAGCTGACACAATTTGACACTTCCCACTTTCCATTAGCTTTGAGTGGGCTGATGTCTGAAACTGCAGATCTACTTGTCTACTTATTTTAGAAATAAATCTGTATCTAAATTATGCAACATGTAATCTCTACTTTTATAACTTCACCCGGAGTATGGAAAAGGAAGCATTATTTTCCCACAGAAATCACAGACTATGGAGAAAGCGAAAGATGTTAATTTAAGTGTTTGAAAACCAAAGAAATTGCTCTAAATACAGTTTCTAAAGAAATTGCCATCTTTTACGATCAAAGAAAAATGATACACACCTACTTTAAGAATCTGCATCTGCCCCAAACACCTGCGGCACTATTCACGCCTGCCCAGATAGGCCTGTGCCACAAAAACCCACTTCCAAAAATTTAAAGTTTCTTAAAGATTCGTTCTTTTTTTCTTTAAATAGGAAATATATCAAAAAGAAAAGAAATACAAAACTAATCTTCTAGACAAAGAACAGGAAGAAAACTGTCACGTTCTCTGGTTTACATTTATAACAGGACCCTATCTAGAGATTAGAATAGTTTCAAATCTATTGTAGTTGAGGATATGATGTCATCATTTAAGGGATGCAGATAATTTAGTCCACAATATCTATTCATACCAACGAAAGAAAGCAAAAGGGGGATGCAGAATACTTTCACACCCCACTCCCCTGGATTAGTCCTATTTTGCAGGGATTCAGCATCCACGCAGAAGTATGTAAGTAGTCTTTTTTTTCAGTTTTCCCCAAAAGCCATTTGCTAGTTTAAGTTTTGTAAAAGCCCAACTGATTTCAGTTCCATTAAATGCACACATCAGACTGATCGATATTCTCTTTTTGCTTTTTCTGTGAAGCTTATTTTAAAAAACCAACTATGATACTTAACACATTCCGCTCACGTGACATTACAGCATTTTTCATCACTGATTAATGAAAAACCTGGGAATTTGCTAAAGAAAAGCTGAAGAGACTATCAGGTTTGCCAGAAATAAAGTAATAATCAATGCAGATAATATTCAAAGTTAATTAATTAGTCTTCTTACCTTGTTCTTTTATCTGACGAATTTGCTTCACAGTTTCTTTCAAGATTGCACATTTGTCAGGTTTAAAGTTAAAGTTGTCAATATCATTAAAATTTGCAAAAATCAGTTCTGCAAGTTCTTCTATGTATTTATTCTCTTGCTCACGATTGCGTTTTTCAGTGCTTCTTTTAGGGCTGAAAGAGGAGTTTATAAAAATGTCGTATTTAATGTCAGTTTGCTTGCCTTCCGGCCAGCTCAAAGATGATTTCAAATGGTTTGAGAGCAGTTTAGCAAAAAACAAAGAGAATCACCCCTTCGCACTACAAAAATGTAAGTTTCTCAAGCAGAAAGGTTTCCTCTGGAAAAAAGAAAGGAGCATTAAAAAGAAACTTTACTTATTTTTTCGCAGCAGTCATATTTTTTGTTTCAAAAGAGGTCTGAGATTTGAAATTTTAGAAAAAGAAGATTAATTTGGGGGGTGGAATTTGAACATTTACAAGCATCCCTCCACGTGGCGTTGAGAATCCAAAGATTATCATATAGTGACTGTGTATAAGAAAATAAAACAGCTCCCTGCCTTCTTGGGAAATCATGGCAGACAGTTGTGAGAAAAAATGGTGAATGAGTGGTTATACTTTAAAATTTATTTGCGCTGGTAACGCAACTGCTACAAAACTCAAAAATATTTTTCAAGTCCCTGATTATGATGCACAAGGGAGTTGGTAAAAAATCTTAGATTGCCAGAATGAGTGACTGAAGACTCCCTGCAATGAGCAACCAAAAAACATTTTTTTTACATACCTCCTATTCTGTCACAAAATTTTGCTATTTTTGGCACTGCACTGGATTTAAAATAAACAAACAAATAAAAAAAAAGACCCGACCCCTCCATCCCAAATCCACAACAACACAGATTTACTGAATCAGAGTAGTTTGAGACTGACTTCTGTTCTTCTATTTGCAAGAATGCAAAATCTGTCATTTTCTACCTGAAAAATACGTGTACGAGTAACATAAATGGTCTAACCTGGGTCCGAGCTGATCGGGATCCTTGCGCTTTCTTGACTCTGCTCTGGATGGGTCAGAGGTATTTTCTCCCATCCCACTCATCTTGAACACATATCAGCAACTAAAAGGAAGAAAATGCGAGAATGGGTTATGGTGGAAAAATCCTGAGTTCACAGTTTGTATTTCCAAGTTTCTTGTTCCATGCTCAACTCGGTTTTTACTTGCTAAATCTATTATTCGAAATAGAGTTTGTCTGAAAGATTCCCATAAAAACATTGGGTTTATGACCCTACAAAATGCTACATGACTCCTTCAGAAGAAAATCTGTGGTGGGCAACCTAGGTGCTATCAACTCTTTGATTGTAACCAGGAACTGATGAATATTTTGTAAATATAGTCAACCTCATTAGGAAAATAACTTATCAAGCTATCATGTGTTAAAACAACACAGGCTTATTATTATTTGTTCAATAAACAGCCCGTGGAAATCCCACCCAACTTCTGGTCACCTCTTGCCCTACATACTGGTAGGAGTAGATGAAACCCACCTGCCCCAGGTTAAGTATCAATATTTGGGAGGCAGTAATCACTATTACAAAGGGTACAGGAAGATGATGTAAATGACCAAAAGGCTCACGCAAGACAGGGCTGTTCTAGCTCATCGTCTGCTTTTCTGTTGCCAGTTTTGTAAGGGTGATGGTAGAGAGTTGTTGCCAGGCATTTTGGAGCTCCTGTATTGTTTGGGGTTAGGAGAAAAACATGAGGGCCATGATTGAGGTGAGTGTCTCTAGGAGGTGATTCGTACCATGCTTAATCAAGAGCTGGAGCTCTATGATCACTTCATGGTGGCATAAAAAGGAAATCAGGTGTCAAAACAAGGGGCCTTCAAGTCCCTCATTTCTGCCCCATCAGTTCCTTTCCTTCTGCTGGCCCAGTCAGCCATGCACTGAACTTGAGGGAACTGCTGTGTGTTAAAACTGCAGTTCCCTCTCTTTTTAATTTTTTTTTCTTTTTTCCCCCTATCTTTTTTTTTCTTATCTTTTTATTTTTGGCACTTTATAAAAATCTATCAGAGTACATGTTGCTTATAGGATGCTCACACTGGAAATCTTACTTTCCCGGACGGATAATGAGAAAGGCTACTTATTGAAACTAGAGAAAAAAAATGAAGACTCAAAGCCATTTCAGATTCAGAACTGAACACCATCTAACATTTTTCTGAATGAAAAAAAAAGAGGAATAAATTCCTTTCTTTGTACGAAAAATATAGGTGGAGTAATTTTCCTTTTTCTAGATACTAATCAAGTTCCATGAAAAAGACTGGATCATGCCTGGAACATACAGCTCCCAGCTGGTCTTTGACATGGATTATTGTTTTCTCTAAGGAGATTACACACACATATGTGTATCTACATGTACATACGTACTGCCAGCATTCTGAGAATTGCCCACTGCAAGAAGGCCATGGTTCTGCAGCGGAACAGAGCTGAGCTCTCAAAGGCAAGATGTACCATCATGAAATCCATCATTGTGTATCTGCTGGAGAACTCAGAGCGACCCAGTCAGGGCATTCACAGCACACACCAGCGCTGATCCTACTGCAGAGCATGAAACACCTACCGCTGCCTCCAGTGTCCTTGTGACACTGGCTGTTCCTTAACAACCACCTATCTTCATCAATTTCCAGTCCCATCAGTTATTCATATCCTAATTTATCTAGGTACAAAAGTAGAAACATACATTTCTCTAATTCATTAGGAACTAAACACTTTCTTGAAAATGCGCAATCTCACAGGTATCCCAAGTAGAGCTCCAAGGAAGAAGCAAGATACTATTAAGAAAACTGTCACAACAACTAGAGAGACGTTGTGAGGAGACAGCAGTTCCATGTCCCTGCCAATGAAGAACTGGAATTGTCATTGGGGTTCTGTTCCAATGGCTAAATTTTTCACTGACTAGTCAGGATGAGAAAAAGTGATCAGCATGATGAAAACTGTACATTCCCGAGATCATCTGATCTCTGAGCCAGTCTCAGATAGTGACCTAAAATTTAAGAAAAAAAACTTAGGCTGAGGAATCCTTGTTTCTTATGCTTATTCCCAAGTATTATCTGAGAAATGTAAATCAGTTAACTGTTTTAGAAAGGAAGCAAAAATTTTCATGAAAACCTGTCAAAACTTCTGTCATCTCCTCTTGGAGTAGCAAAGGGTAAGCATTTAGGGAGAATACCCTCCTCCATTTCCCCCTTCCTTCCCAAGAACACAAATAGGAACAGTTATTGATAGTTTTCCCATCTACTCTGTCAGGCTTACTTCAAAGGGAAGTGTATTTTTGCAAACACCAATGTTTCACCACCAACACACGGCTCAATTGTTCTTGCATTCACACTGATGCTATTCTGTCAGAATTCCACTAGGTCTACAGTATCAGGCTTCAGAGGACACATTAAAACCAACCTCTAACCATAAACATCTATAGTTCATCCTTCTGTATTTAATGGAACAAAAGTGGTATCATTATTATGAAACTAGCACCTTCTCTCTTTACTAAACATAGTAAATGGTTCTAAACAAATGCATTTTTTCTAATTTTATTCTATCTTGTTTGCACTTACAGGCCATTAAGCCTTTTTCTCAGCAGCATTATCAGTTTGTTCTTAGATTGAGTTACTTGTTTCTTTTTACTCATCACAAACGTTTTCTGGAAATCTATGACCGATTATCATGTTTGCTTTCTGCTCTCCCCTATGTCTTTGTTAAAAATCGTATTCTTTGTCAGCGACACGGACGACAGCACTGAGTGCACCCTCAGTAAGTTTGCCGACGACACCAAGCTGTGTGGTGCCGTGGACTCACTTGAGGGAAGAGATGCCATCCAGAGGGACCTTGATAGGCTTGAGAAATGGGCCAGTACAAACTGCATGAGCTTCAAGAAGTCAAAATGCAAGGTCCTGCACCTGGGTCAGGCCAATCCCAGGCACAGATAGAAACTAGGCACAGAGTGGGTGGAGAATAGCCCCAAAGAGAAGGATTTGGGGGTGCTGATAGATGAGAAGCTCAACATGAGCCGGCAGTGCGCTCATGCAGCCCAGAAGGCCAACCGCATCCTGGGATGTATCAAGAGAAACGTGGTCAGCAGGTCAAGAGAGGTGATTCTCCCCCTTTACTCTTGTGAGACCCCACCTCGAATACTGCATCTAGTTCTGGTGCCCCCACCATAAGAGGGACGTGGATCTGTTGTCTTCAGAGGAGGGCCACAAGGATGATCCAGGGGCTGGAGCACCTCTGCTATGAGGACAGGCTGCAGCAGCTAGGAATTGTTCAGTCTTGAAAAGAGAAGACTTGGGGGGAACCTAATAGCTGCCTTCCAGCAGGTAAGGGAACCTACAGGAAGGCTGGGGAGGGACTTTTTACAAGAGTGTCCACTGATAGGACAAGGGGAAATGGGTTTAAGTTGAAGGAGAATAGATTTAGATTGGACCTTAGGAAGAAATTCTTCAGTACGAGGGCGGCAAGACTTTGGAATAAATTGCCCAGAGATGTTGTGGCTGGCCCCTCCCTGGAGGGGTTCAAGGCCAAGTTGGATGGAGCCCTGAGTAGCCTGATCTAGTTGAGAGGCATCCCTGCCCATGACAGGGAGGTTGGATTAGACGGTCTCTTAAGGTCCCTTCCAGCCTAGGCCATTCTATGATTCTATGATATTCTGTATCTCAAAGATATGCATAGGCTCTGCATTTTGTGTTTCGTTGGTGCCTACACTCCAGAGTAGAAGGCAAAAACCAGAGTTATATGCCTTGGAAAGTGAAGAGCTAGACAGACAATACTAAAGCAATCTAAAAAAATCTCATATTCCAAAATGAATGCCACTCAGCAGTACCTAGTACACAGTACTAAAATCCAAAAGATGTGCCTCCAAGCCCTATTTCCACAGAGATTTAGTGGTTGACTGGGATAAGTGAAGTTCTTCTATTCTTTTGGGACTCAGAACCTGAAGTCCTCTCCCAAGTGAGGAATCCCCTTTTTAGAAAAACTGTGGATCGATAATCTGCTGCTCTGCTCTTCCATAATATTATGTACCAACTAAAACAGCCAGAAACTGGGCAATGGAGATTCAGCTCCTTCTTTGCAGAAGAGCATCCATTTTTCACCATGAAGGGCAGCCTCCGAGGTGGTAGGCGATCTGCTTGTCAAAACTGCATGCTTATGAAGCAGAGAGGGCATGGTTAATTAACTCTGCAGTGCAGTAGGGGTCTTTAGGTGTGTAACCCATATCGCTAAACTCACAGGTAAGTAGTTCAAACACTGTCTTGAGACACAGAGGATAGAGGTTTGAGTCCCTTAGGCTGAGGACCGTAGCAAACCTCTGTGTCCTCTTAACAATGACTCTAACAAGTTGAGTCAAAGAGATGAGCACACTTCCAGTTTCCTCTTGGTTTTCAAAAAGCAAGCAGCGATTTCAAAATTTGTTCCATGAGCTAATTCATGTTCAAGATCTAAGCACACTACTAAAAGAAGACATCTGGAGGGTGTAGGTACCGCTACAAATTTAATGCAGCATCATCAAGAAACTAAAACCACATTTTTCAGAAGAAAGGACTTCTGGGCACAAGTAGTACCGAAGAGTAGGAGGGACTTAGGAAACTTTCAAGTGAGAAGGGAAAAACCTCATGAATTTAGATTGAATTGAGAGATGAACTGTAGCCATACAAACACCCGTGAGTCAGGAGCAGCTAAAGTGCATATAGTGCTTTTTAGGTTTTGCCCCAACTCCCTCAAATACACATTAACTCATCCATCTCAAAATTTCTTTGTTATTATAATACTCAAAAAATCACAACATTAAATAAACAAGTATTTTAAAAATAGGTAATTTAAGACCTTTTAAAGTTGTTCTAAGTATTCTTAGGTTCCTGAACCCCATGGACAGCTTCTCAGACCAGAAAATAAAACTCCCAAGCTTCAAGCTTGATTTTTTCCCAGGAAATATGAGAATTCAAAACTGAAGCCACTGCAAGTACAATGACAGGTCAGAGACTCAAAGTTTTACTTCAATTAACGTCCCCCATAGGGAACTATTTCAGTTTAGAGAGTAGCATTCATCCT